GACTAGACTATAGACTAGACTATAGACTAGACTATAGACTAGACTATAGACTAGACTATAGACTAGACTATAGACTAGACTATAGACTAGACTATAGACTAGACTATAGACTAGACTATAGACTAGACTATAGACTAGACTATAGACTAGACTATAGACTAGACTATAAGACTAGACTATAGACTAGACTATAGACTAGACTACACTATAGACTAGCTAGACTATAGACTAGACTATAGACTAGACTATAGACTAGACTATTTTTGATCCATTTTTCGATTTTAACTTTTAAAAGCTATTTTGGTCAATATTGATTAATGTGAGCGTATCTTAAACTATTTAAGAGTTTTAACTTTAGTTAAAAACATAAGATTTTTTTACAAACAAAAGTTCTTCACATTATTTTGTTTTCCATAACACTTTTGAACATTAATTTCAAAAATCCCACGTCAAAATTATTATCCTAAAAAAAAGAGTAATTCATAAATTTACTCTCTCACAAATATCCATACGTCATGATCATAACACATAATACAATTTAGTTTTTTATAAATCCATTTTTTAAGAAATAATTTGCATACTTGTATGATAAAAAAAATATAAACATATTTACATACAAACATAATTGTTTTTGAAATATTTGCGCGTAACTTTTGAATGACAACCATTTATGATGAAAAATACGATTGAAAACAATAAACAATATTTATGTCTTCTCTTAATTAGTAAGTACAACCAGACAGAGAAGTTGAGAAAGAGACGGGGAACAGAGAATCGGTCATATTGTCTATAATAAGCGTCAATATTTCTGTTGATTTCACAAAAGAATTCGAATGCAAATTAAATCATATTTCGACAAACAACAATACAAACTTATCGATTGATTTTACGTACCTACATACGAACATATCAGATCGAGGTACATTTAATATGACATACATAAATGTGATTTGAATATTAAAATCTAAATAAATTAAAAACAAGCAACAAAGTTAGACTCAAGATGACTGATATGGTTATAAACGTAATCCATAATTCCTGACACATAACATAAATATACACACAACAAACCTATTAGGAGACCATTATGGACACACTTCACTCATTCGCTGGATTTGATCTATACCCAACGACTGACTATAGTTTTATTATATACGTTTCGTTTTTTTTTTTTTTCATATTCTTTTATTTTGTTCGTTTTGGCGGACAATAATTTTTGTTTATTTTTTATATATGTATATTACATATTTATATGCACACTATTGTTGTTGTTAAGGTGGTTTAAGCCACGTTAGCACGAGCCAAAGGAAAATAAATAAAACTTAACGTACTTTTAAGTGTCTAGTCTAGTTATTATGAAAATTAACCCTTTGTGGTGCTTAATATGTATTATTATTATTTGTGTTTTTAGATATTAGTCGCTTATAAACGATAGTTAGTCCAGACTATGTACGAGACTAACGATAATCTAGACTATAGTCCAGGTTATAACGTGACGATATAGTCCAGACTATTGGAGACTGTAATTCAGAATATACGAAAAACTTATCCAAACTAAATTACACATTAGTCTATGATTATGGACGAAACTATAGTCAACAGTATAGATGAATATGTAGTACAGAATTTAGATGAAATTATATATAGACCAGTCTATGGACGAAACTATAGGCTAGATAGCCGATAATATAGAAAATACTAGAGTCTAAACTATTGTCCAGATTCATAGTCTATATTTCAGACTATAAACGAGTCTATAATCCCAGACTGTAAACGTTACTGTAGTCCCGACTATACTATATAGACTATAGACGAGATTATAATCCAGACTATAGTATATATTGTCCATCTATAGTAAAGCCTATAGACTCAGTAAAAACCTCAAGTTCAGACTATAGACGGGTCTATATCCAGACTATAGTATACAGAAAATCCAGTTACAGATTGAGCGCCAATGGGTTAACTAAGAGAGTGACTTCAGTGCTGCTCAATTATTGAGTACAGCTTTTAAATACAAATTGTTTTTTACTCACTTTTTGGTTGGTGGTGACACTATGCCAAAACGTCAACTGAAAGTCTTTCGCATTGTTTTTGTTTTTTTTTTTTTTTTTATAGAATGGAAAGAAAATCTACGCGCATTGACAACAATTCATTTTTCGCCAGCATGACAGTTGTTGTCCGTCAATCGGGCGGACAAATATTGTCGCCGCCGTATTATTTCTTTTATTTTGTACCAAAGTGTTTGTTGTATTTTTTTGTTTCTTTAGTTTAATATCGCTGGAAATTGATCAGTTGTCGCTTTAAGACAATTCTTTTTTTTATATAGTTTTCTGTTTTAATTTCTTTAGAGTTTAAAAGACAAATGAGTGTCGTTTGTTGTTTGTTTGAGTTGATGTTTTGTTTGTTCGTTTTGTTTGTTATTTGTTACCAATGTCCAGTGTATTTGAGAGTGATATCAAGACATCATTTATCAGCTACCTCAAAAAAACCTCAAACTCTTTAAACCACTTCTCGCGAAAAAATAAGTCGCCTTTCGTTTTCACTATTCTTTTCGATTATGAGTGTTTGAACATAAATAACAACAACAAAAGTTGTAGATACTTTGTTGCTTTAAGATGTGATTTGTTTTTTTTTTTTTGCCGGTTGAAAAGTTTTTAACAAATTTACACTTTCGTTTTTCTCAATCAATTAAATAAATTTTAAGAAAAAATAAATAATATATGTATCTAGAAACCACTCCCAGTTAAAATTTTCTTTTTTTTTCCATAACTAAAACAAACAGTAATGGGCATTTGCTTAAGTTTATTTTAAACAAATTATTATTTTAATTACCTAATCAAACTTTCTAAATTGACAAAAATAATATAAATGAAAACGTGTAAAAATTATATGAACCTTAAAGCGAAAACCTAAATTTTTAACAATGATCATCCGATATATGTAAAAATGTGTATTAATAAATGATGAATAGTTTTTAACAAAAAATGTTTATAATATACTGAAATTTAAAAATATTGCGAGAATAGTCATTATCGCCAACACTTCATGCTTTTAAGTTTTGTTCTACGTCTAATTAAGCAAAATATTGTTTGTGTTATACGCTTGGAATTATAAATACATGTTATACTTAAAAGGAGTTACAACAAAAAGTTTATTATTGTTGCTATATTTATACATAAAGTCATACAATGAAACTTTTGTTTAATATTTTTTAAACATTTGTCTTTCTTTTGCACTCGATCTAAAATCTAAAAAATATCAAAAGTTGTCGAAAGTCGAAACCCATAGAACCCATACATTTCTAAAGGATGAGCAGCACTGAATCTGACAAATAAGAATCTATGCATCACATCAGGTTTTCGTGTTATCATGGCATAAAGAGTATAATTTTAATTGATGATAGTTTCATGCATTAGGTTAAAATACATATTTTGAAAAAGAAAGATGATATAACAGAGGTTAAACCTTTATTTTAAAGTCAACAGATTGTACTTTCAGATGACACAATAAATTTTTTAAATAAATATCTCTTCGATGTGTTATAACGTCTTAAATATGAAAAACGTATATTTTGATTTTAAGGACACGTTGTCTTGACAACTTGATGTGATCCCATTTTGCGCAGTTCCATCCTTTAGATATGTATGCTTTGGTCCCTATGTTAAAAATATATTGGACCGTGTAATCTCTTAACACAATGAATTACCGACCGTAGACTATAAAGTATCATTTTAATATCCAACAACGATCTAGCATCGTTCTTTTGTATTTTTAAAGTATAATAGGATCCAGAGGAGAGAAAATTTACCCGAAATATCCTCTGTTGATCAGAAATGTTGAAAATTAGACAAATCGGTCATAATTGTTCCACAAAATATCCGGCCATTGTTCAAAAATAAGAAAATATTACTCCAATTAAGAAAGGAATCCCTTAAACGTATATCGATCACTGTATTTTATTATTCAAGTGTATGATTTTTTGTTTTAGTCGCGTGCTTAAATGTTTTAAAGTTTTTTTTTTATTATTATTTCTTTTTATTTTTTTCATTTTTTTGTAACATACATAGATTTGTGTATCTGTGTGAAAAGGTGTTTGTATTTATTTAGTTTTTTTCATTTATTATAAATGGCAAAAACTAACGTTAAATTGAATATTTACTACTTACACTTGAAAAAAAATTAAAAAAAAAAGTAGAAACGACAAACAAATAGAAATATTTAACAAACAACCACATCAACCAACCGCACAAATACAAAATTTTAAAAATAACAGAAATAACAGTGACAGTAACAGTAACGATGAGTCCATTCGATGCGGTTTTAAATTGCTTTTGTCATATGTGCCATTTACCATGTCGAAGGTGGGAATAAATTTTGGTTTATTTTATAATAAATTTTATTTTTATGTATTTTTTAAGTTTTTTTTTCTCTCTTTTTAAATTGAGTTTATGAATCATATGCAAGATTTAATGATATATCTAAGTGTGGCTTTTTTGCTATTTTAACTATGTATATAAAGTGGTTTTAATATATGACTATAAATATTCAACAAAAAATATTTATCTACAATAATATTTTTTATTATTAAACATCTATGACAGATTAAAAAAATTTTAAAAGATATTAATTGCAAGTAATTTACATATGGAAGATTTAATGATATTTTTAAGAGTGTTTTTTTTTTTTTTTTTGTCAGCGGTTTTAATATATTTTTATAAATATTAATTTACCAAGAATAATATTTTTATTGAAAATAAACAGAAATTTGTTTAAAAATGGCTAATATCTCATGGTCTAGTGTGCTAAATATTTTGCCCTCAAAAACTCACTTTTGTCGAAATATAAGATAAAGAATAATGTATCATCTAATCCATCAATTGATTACAATATTCCAAAATATGTATTTGTGAAAAATACAAAGAATTTTTTTAATTTATAAAAAAGTTTTCCGATTTTATTCTTACAATAAATTTATATTTACTTTTCTTATTAAATTACAGTTCTCCACCAGCAAATCTAACAGTATTAACCCGCCAACAACAATTGCAACAGCAACAAAACGCTGCCGCATTTTATGCTTCAAATGCCGCTGTTGACACCAGCGATTTAATGATACGCTTACGTGAATCCATTAAACAAAAAGAAGAATTCCTTAAATCACCATTACCAAATGTTCATCAACAGCACAGTAACTCGCAACATCAACAACACCAACAGCAGCAACAACAACACTTTTTTCCCAATACCCCACCATCGGGCAGTCCACAATTGTCTATGATTTCAACGTCATCGACATCAGTGGGTTCATCAGGTTTAGGTGGTGCTATCATTCGTAATAATGAAGCTACCGCTCGAGGACAAGTGCGCACATTAGTTAAACAACCCTTGTCTGCAACATCATCATCGTCTAGTACAAGAGAATTATTGACAGCAAGCTGTGATATGCATTACGCACCGAATTTAGGTTCTAGTACAAGTGGAGTTGGATCAGGATTAGTAGGAGTAGGTGGTGGAGCTAGTGGTATGACAACGTATGGAACCTCTGGTACACCATCGGTGTTGTCGCGTGGTGGTCATCTACAACAGCAAAGATCTTCAGCCACTTCTTCAGCAACAAATGGTAGTAGTTCAGTAGTTTCAACATTACGTGATAAATATCACCATAAGGATTATGAATTCTTAGAAACCTTACAGGAAACTGGTGTTACTAATAAAGTGTAAGTTAAATTACATACTTACATATATAATTATTTAGAATATTTTGGAATATGTTTTTAATTTCTCATAGGCAAATATTAGAATTTATGTATCTATCTATCTGTCTATCTATCTATCAATCAATCTATCTATCTATCTATCTATCTATCTATCTATCTATCTATCTATCTATATCTATCTATCTACTATCTATCTATCTATCTATCTATCTATCTATCTATCTATCTATCTATCTATCTATCTATCTATCTATCTATCTATCTATCTATATATCTATCTATCTATCTATCTATCTATCTATCTATCTATCTATCTATCTATCTATCTATCTATCTATCTATCTATCTATCTATCTATCTATCTATCTATCTATCTATATCAATCATTTTCTAACTTCCTAAACACATTGTGTAGCTTAATTAAATGTATTTTTTCTTCAACTTTCATTTTAGATTTGAAAGTAAATTGAATTCTCATTTATCCCGAGGTTTTGATCCTTTTAAAACTTTATCCATCAATACAAATACTATTGAATCTACGTCGGCTCCGGGCAATGTTATAATGATGAAAAAACCGGGTGTTTTATATGATTCACTGCAGCATCATCCGTTGGCACAAATGCAGGTGCAACAACAGCAGCCGCAGCAACAACAACAACACCATATGCCACAGCAACATCATCAAGTATATCAACAAACAACGGCGCCAAAGATGACAATAATACCCATTGCAGTTGATGCAGCATTAAAATCATCATCATCAACAACACCAGCAAGCACAACAATACCAACAACAACAACAACAACAAATCAAGCCTCGACGTCTACCGTCGATGGACATCGGTATAGTCGTATGGAAATTCATAAAGCTAGTTTGGCTACTGCAACAATCGATCATCAGACTAACAGCAGTAAGTTGAAGTTTAAATAAATGAATGTATTTATTTTTAATACACTATATATAAAGCATGGTCTGTACTGTTTTATTGTAAATTGTAAACGATTTGAAATTGGTATAATGTAAAATAAAGGGTCAATAGTATAAAATGTAGAAGAACTATTAAAAAAAGATTTTTGTTATATTGTACGTTTTACAATGACTTTGAAATGATAAAAAAGCAGTTCGAACCATGCTATAAATAGATACATATGTACACATGTATATTCAAAAGTCTCTATATTGCGCAACACAAAACTTCCGGAGACAAAAAAACTACTTCTTTCGTTGATTTGTCAAAATGTTTAAGTTATCTTTGGATCATTTGCAAATTTTATATTCCGCAAAGATATATTTTCACAAATTTCAATCAAATATCTAGAAATGATCCATTGTTTTCTACAATAGGTATTTTTTTTTGTCAAAAACTTTACGTCAAAAACTCATATTTGTCCCAACATTTTTTTAATCAATATTCATTCATTTTATGTTTGTTATTTTACCTCCAGAGTTTGCTAGTAAATTGACGGATGTTAATGAAAAACCAATATTGGCCGATATAGCCGAAAGCGGTACAAGTAGCACAACTTCAACTAGAGGTAAAATAAAATGAAAAGTTCAATAAAATAAAATAAAATAAAAAAAACTCTTATCAATATAAATATTGATTTATACAACGTTTTTTTATCGTTTTTAGCATCCACAATGACAGACTTAACGGAAATAAACAAATCTTCAGCAACTCCGGTTACGCGACGCTTTAGGCCAATGTCTTCATTTGATGAGCCGAAACATATGCGTCGAATATCATATTTACGTGCAACAAATGATGATTATCACTGTGAAACCTCGTTATCATCGTCATCGGTAACGAACACATCAACCGGCAGTGTAAACGATAGCCTATCGACAAAATCTGCCACGGTATTATCGCAACAAATTGAAGAACATCCGGATCCGATTTATGATGTTGTTAGTGGCGGTGGTGGAGGTGATAGTGGAGCTGCAGACAGTACAAGTGAATCGTTAGATGCGTTGGAAGATTTAAAATTAGAAACATCTTCGCGTAGCAGTCGCAGAACTTCAGTTAATAGTGATATAAGGCACAGGTGAGTTTAAACATCTGAATATCAAAAGAAAATTTAAAATATTTTATATCCAACCTTTTATGTAGTGTTCACATTGATAGTATACCCAGTATTGATATAACAAGTAAGTTTGAAACAAAAGATGTTGCAACCGAAATGGAAATTTTTGAAACAGAAATGGAAATAAAATCAACATGTATTAATGGCAAAGTAAGTAAATCAAACAATAATAAGAATAAAGAGATTATTATAATTAATGTGATATTTCTATATCCAGCGACTTTCTGAATATCGTTCTTGGCGTCAAGTAAAAATCGAGATAAAAGGTGATATATTAAAAATATATCCCAGCCGCAATACAAAATCCGATAATAATGTAAGAATAAACGAAAACGAAAATCAATAAATTAAAAATAAAATCTTATTCTCATTTTCTTCTCGATTGCAGATAATAGAACTCGACATTAGAAATTATAAAATATTCGATGAAACTGATAAAAAGAAATATGTATTTCGTATGCAATCGAAACCCTCACCGATCGCCACTTTGGGCAATGAACTGAATTTAGATGATACGAATGATAAGTTAACATCATCGTCGGGTAGTTCGACAAATGTACCTCAACAGTCATTACAACATACCGATACACAGTATCAACCACATACCGAGATTTTTTTCAAAACTAAAAGCAGTACAGAAATGAGAAGAATATTTGGTTTATTACAATGGAAAAATAGTTTATTAAGTTACGATAACAATGTATGTACTTTTGACATTTAAAGAAACGCTAGAGGCAAGTAATGTAAATTCTATAATCTATTTATTTTAGGATCTTCAAGGTAAACAGCTAGCAGAACCACAAAAAACCGCCGCAACTGCTAGCATGTCTACATCAACATACTGTGATGATAATGTACAACAACAATCAGCGCAACATTTACAAGCAGAACACTCACCGTTAAGTTCGACATCGCGTAGTGAAATAGAAGCTTCAGATTCTGTATCACCAGTAATGAAAACTCGCAAATCATCATCCCACAAAAATATACCCGACAAAGATTTAGGTTCACCTAAGGCCAAAAACTGGAAGGATTTATTATTTCGTCGAGGCGGTGGTAGTAGTAGTAGTGGTGGCCATAACGCTGACCTTTCACCCTCAAATCTTTCTTCATCCTCAAAGACTATTGGTTCTATAGGTGTGCCACTTAAAACATGTCCCATGGTATGTTGAACCCACAAAGCCAAAATTCATTTCATTTAACAATTTTAATTTTCTATTTTGCAGTCCAAAAACAACGAATATGTACCAACTTTAGTTGAAGTATGTACAAATATCGTTGAGACTAAAGGCTTGGGAGTGGTTGGTATATATCGTATACCCGGCAATAAAGCTGCAATATCCGAATTATCCGATCAAGTTAATAAAACTGATTTTTCTTGGGACCGTTGCAATACCGACGTAAGATGGGAGGATGTCAATGTCGTTTCGAGTCTTTTGAAACTATTTATAAGAAGTTTACCCGATGCACTGCTACCAAGTTCCTTTTATAATCATTTTATAGAGGCCGACAAAAAGGCGGGCATGGAACGTTTACGGGAAATAAAACAATTGTTAGAAAACTTACCCCGCTATTCATACGAGACAATGAAACATCTGTTTCGTCACTTGAATAGAGTCAGTAAAAATTGCGACGTCAATTTAATGGAAACAAAAAATTTGGCAATAATATTTGGTCCCTCTATAATACGCACACCCAATGATACATTAGATATAGCCGTAAAGGATATGAAACATCAATGCAGGATTGTGGAGTTGCTATTGACACATGTAAGTTGTAATTATATAAATAAATAAATAAATATAGATAGATAGATAGATAGATAGATAGATAGATAGATAGATAGATAGATAGATAGATAGATAGATATATGGATAGATAGATAGATAGATAGATAGATAGATAGATAGATAGATAGATAGATAGATAGATAGATAGATAGATAGATAGATAGATAGATAGATAGATAGATAGATAGATAGATAGATAGATAGATAGATAGATAGATAGATAGATAGAAATTTGAGTAAATATATAAAAAATGTATAAAAAATATATAAAAATAATTATATCTTATTTTCAGTACGATTACTTTTTTGAAAATGGCAAAACTCCGGACATTGAAGATGTTTGTGGCAATAATTTGGCAGCATCAACATCATCGGCTACCGGTGTAACGGCTGCTCAACAACAGCAAGAGGATCAAACGAACATGTTGTTACACAACATTTCAAAAATCGAACGTTTTAGTGAACGTGAATCTAACTCGAGTCACACGACCTCACGCACATCTCGCTTTATGCCTCAATTAGGGAAAAAGCCCCGTAAGCCTGGTGATAGTAGGGTAAGCGAAATTAAATCTAAATCTTTTCACACATCCACATCCAATTCTATCACCACCAATACCAACATTATTACCAACACAAAACATTCTATTACTACACCTATACTTCTCACCAAGAACACTCTAAAAAATATATGCAAATCAACACCCAATATTTCCACTCTAAATACACGTTCAATTTCAAATCATAATCGTAATGCTTCTAAAGCTTCTTGTGAATCAGCGGTAGCATATCGTCAAAGACGCAAAGCTGTTCCAACCATTTATGATTTTGGTGTAACTTTACGTTTACATTTTCAGTCGACCAGTGCCACCACGACAGCGACTTCCTCCTCGAGTAGCAGTAGTACGACGACGACGGCTACATCAACAAAAAATAAATCGAAGAAAAGTGAAAGTCGTAGTATTTTGGGTCATCGTCATGGCCGTAAGACTAGTTTAGATGAAAAGGATTCGGGCAGTTGCAGTGGCAGCAGTATTGCCAAGGAGACACAACGCAATAGTGTTGACATCTCGATCACATTAACCGATGATGAAAGCAGCAATAGCCGTCTAAGTGATACTGGTAAGTGTTACATTACAACCTTCTTTATATTTATTCTTTTCAAAAAATTCTAAATTACTATATTCAAATTTATGTTCAGTTTTTTAAGCTAATAGAACAATCAAGATATTCTAACTTAACAATTTTGAAATTGAATTAAAAATTTTCATACATAATAGAGATGGGGGTAGTGCACTAATTTTTAACTATCACTAATACCTAATCCTTTGAACAAGTTTTTACGGGAAATCCTTTGAACAAGTTTTGGAATTCAGATGTTTCAACCATTTCTTTTTAAAGCATGAGATGTTGTTGGTGTCCGTCATAGTGTCATCACTACACTACTACTCAATTGAGTTATAGTCAAAAAATAACATCACTAAACAAGTAGGAAAGTATAGTCGGGCATGGCCGACCATATAATACCCTACACCATGAGTATATTTTAAAAATTTAAATTTTTCACAAAGAAACTTTTATGTTGAATTTTACCTTAATTCCAAAGTATTTAAGCAATTTATTGATAAAAAACAAATTTTCTAAATGAGGCTTTATATAGGAGTATAGGTCAAACATGGGCCGATTCTCATTAAATTTGGGAAAAGGATATATTGTTAAATAATAGTTAATTATGTTGAGTTTCATTGCGATACAAATGGTTACAAGTCAGTTTTAGACGTTTAAGACATTTTTTGAAGGGGGGTTCGTATGGGGGCTAGGTCATACGAAAATCTGCAGTGTCATTTATACTTATATAAAACTTATTTGTGCCAATTTTTAGAGAGATAATAGCATATTTGACGTAATTATGGCATAAAAAGCCCAAATCGGGAGGTACGGTTGTATGGGGGCTAGGTGAAATAATGGACCGATTTCAACCATTTTCAATAGGCTTCGTCCTTGTGCATGCTTGGTCCAAATTTCATCAAATTATCTTGAAAAATGCGGCCTGTACCTTGCGCACAAGGTTTACATGGACAGCCAGCCAGCCAGCCAGCCGGACAGACGGACGGACATGTCTTAATCGACTCAAAATGTGATTCTGAGTCGATCGGTATACTTAAAGGTGGGTGTAGGACCAATATTTTTGTGTGTTACAAACATCAGCACAAACGTATAATACCCTCCCCACTATAGTGGTGTAGGGTATAAAAAATATAAATTATAAAGCTTCACTACCACTGAGCTGCTGAAAATAAGTGAAAAATATATTTTTTGAAATATGTAATATTAAGTGCTAGTTAAATATTGATTTAACTAAAAATTTAGTGCACTACCCCCATCTCTGAAACATACATACATGCTTGTTATAAAAAACGTTTTATACCCTTCACCTTCGTGAAAAGGCTATACATATTTATATAAGGTTGTAATTTCTACAATATAATATTCCGACCTCATAAAGTATATGTATTCTGGATCCTTATAGATAGCGGAGTCCATTAAACTGTGTCCGTCTGTTTGATGAAATCAGTTTTTAGAAGATCCTGAGGTCTTCAGGTCCAAATCTTCAATAATTCTGTCAGACATTCTTTCGAGAAGTTATCTTTGAAAATCTGCAAAATCGGTCCATAAATAACTGACATATGAGCAAAAACAACTGGAGGTGGTGAAAATGAAGGTCAGGGTTATCGCATTCTTAAATAAATGCAGTATATCTCTATATCTCATTTAAACTCATTTAAAACCTATAGGTATATACGTAGATCTCCAAAGACAAGCTTAAGCAAAGGGAGTCAGAAGGCTGAAATATGAAAATTCATAGATTTAACACGTAAAATATTTTGATTGCAATTGCTAACCCATTATCTATAAGTGTTTAAACACCTGGTTGACTGTTTATACATATATTAGGCGATTCATCACTAATGTATTACTTTCGTATGACAAAACCAGAGCGAATGAAATCCTGTCAAATTACTTTACGAAATCATATGTACATACATATTATCTAACTATTTAAAGTTAGGTTTTAATCAAAATAAATATTAATTAAATTTTATAATTCAATTTTTTTTTTTAAATGAAGATTTTTTACGAAAAAAGTTTTTTTTTTTGTTAATTTTGAAGATTTTGCAGAAAATTATATGGCAACGCTGTGTGTGTCATGTGTGCAGAACAAAAGAAATGTGTGCAGAACAAGTCTATGCAAAATTTAAAATTGTTGTTTTTTTTACTTTGTTGCGGATATAAAAAAATACAAAAATAAAATTAAATTCTCAAAAATTAATAAAATAAATAAATAAAAAAATAAATTAAAACATACTTGGTGAAAGGTATACATATAAGATTCGGCACAGCCGAATATAGAACTCTGACTTGTTTTTTTTTTAACTTATTCAAGAAAATTTTATGCATTTGTTCTTAATAAATGAAATTTGTCTTTTAGGTTCAATGTCACTGGGTGCTGTTACTGATGCTTTAGAAGATAAACTGAAAATAGTTAAATGTGGCTTTAATTCAAACGAAGAAAATGGTTCCCCAGATTTTCCCATAACGCCACGACGCTACACCATTGGTGAACCACTACTTTTGCATTCTGAAAACATTCCTTATGCCGATGAGTCACCCGAAAGGCATTTTCACAATTTCTATCCTCTCGACAATGTAACGGGAAACAATTTAATGATAAGTCGGTCGTGTGCTTCAACCAATACGCTGATGAATGCTAAAATGAATAATGAAAAACCCACTTCCCTTACAACGGGTTCAACTCTAACAACCACCTATAAAACAACACACAAATTGCAACACTCGGCTACGGCACCTATAAACTCTTCGTTGGGCAGTGTGGGTGGTGGCTTAACGTCTCCTCCTACTGCGGCCTCTACGCCAACTACTAGTGCCCTTAAGGGAAATTTAACAGCCTCTACAGCACGCAATCTATATGCAACTAGCAAAAACTTACGCTTTTCTTCATCCGTTCAAGAACAAAGATGTTCTGAAGACGATTCTGAGGGCTCCACAACCAGTGATCCCAAAGAAGCTTTAGTAATGGCCTCGCCCTCCTTTCTGCTAGATAAATACAATAAAAAACGTAGAGATCATCGACTCTTTCGTTCGGCCTCATTCAATTGTCGTAATTATTCTTCGCGTTATGGTGGCAGCGGCGCTGCAGCAGGTGGTGGCATGGGTTCTAATATACCAACCACTGGCCTAACTAAAGATGAAAAGACTGATATGAATCTAACTAAAAAACGGCAAATACAAAACAAACAAAATCGTTCGATTAAACGAAGGCATACAGTAGGAGGTCCACATGATTATAGTGGTGGAGGCGGTGGCGCAGGTTCAAATAATTGCAATCATCATTGTAAAAATATTAGCAATAATGGATCTAACAACTCAACCGCCTCGAATTCAACAACGGTAGTAAGACGTATACCCTTATCTAGCGCCAATGGTAATATACCCAATAACAACAATAATAATAACAATAACATGCAACACGATGAAGGTGGTAGCAGCAGCAGTACTAGTAATGGCAACAATTCAAGCAGTAGTAATAGTAGTAGCAGCACTAATAATGCGGCCACTGTTAATGTTGCCAATTCGGCGGGAGAACACGTACTTGAAGTGGGCATACGCATTAAGAATATTAATCGTGGTCGCTTTTAAGTCGAACAACAACAATAACATATGAAAAAAACTAAAATACTATAAGGAATAAAATTCCTGGGTGTTAAAACAGATATGGAAATTTTGTGTTAAAGCAAAACCGAGTATGTGACATATTTGGTCAAAACAAACGAGAAACAAGAAAAGCAAAAATATTTATAAAGAAAAAATTAAATTAAACAAAAAAAAAACAAAACCCACCCTCCCAGCTTCTTACATTAAAAAAAATATTAGTTATTATTGAGTACAATCATCATCATCATCATGATATCATAAGTGTTGTTAGAAATAATGCAATAATATCAGAGTTCAAAAGAATTTAAAGTTTTCATTTTAAAAATTTTAACACAGAAGTGAAATTTAAAAATTCCCCAAATAAAATATTTAAATCAACTATTAACAAAAATGGAAATTACCACCATTAGTACTTAAAAAAGTCATATTCATTGTGTGTGTTCCCTTGCGTTTCAAATTGGTATAAAACGAAACTGTAAATGTGCAACAAAATTCCTTAAGAACTCTGATCTATAGCCAATCATCCACACGATAATCATTATTCATCATCTTTTGTATGCTGTTTAAATAACAAGTGTACAAAAAAACAACTAAAGCTAAAGCAAAAATATTATATGGAGAAGAAGAAATATGTTACTTCTGATTAACCAACAAAACACCAATTAGTATGTAAGTAAAAAAAGAAAAATTTAAATTATATAAAAATTCATTGTTGTTAAATTCAATTTCAACATGTACTATATTAGACAGACGTACATAGCTACAAATACATACATATATATATATATTTTGTTTATGTTTTATGTGTACAACAAAAAAGAAACAAGTCAAGTATAAACATTAGGGTCGGCGCAAAACAAGAGTTATTGATGTTTTCTACGATGACCCTATGGAAAAAAATGTACTACAGACGTTGACATCAAAAATAAAATCTTGATTCATGCGTAGATACCGTTTCTTAACATTTTAGCCCTGGAGTCTGGAGTATTTGGTGTCTTCGCTTCGCGCTTGGTTTTTTATATAGGACACTATATAAAACACCTGATGTAATGGAGAAACTCAATGCCAGATTCGGATTTATCCATGCACATTCCTTCGGAAATGTATACCTTGGTAATTTTTTGTTTTTTTTGCCTGTGTGCGACAACAAACACATTTTTCGCAAGCTCACCAAATATTGACGTTATGAACAAAAAGTTTGGGAAATGGTGTCTTAGAATGATTTAAACTTTCATTTTCGGCGGAAACGTCAGTAACTTCCCTTATGTGGCCACTCAAATAGACATTAGGGGTGATATTTTTAACAAAAATTAATGTCTAATTCAATCTTCAAAAGACTTAGATTTTGTTTTTGTGTTGCCTTCATATCTCCAACACACCAAATATTCTCAGAAGTATAACAATTTTAAGAAACATTCATTTAAAATAAAAATTAAACTTAAATTTTTATTAAAAACATCTGCAACTTTTGTTTGCGTTCCGCCCTAATAAACATGTGTAGTATTAGCAATCATTTACACAAATCAATATTTAAAAGAAATTATAATTATAATAATATTTATAGAATTACAAAACGAAGTTACATAAACTTATATATTTAGAAGAAAAAATGAAACATTCAAGCATAAACAAGTGTAACTAAGCAAAAAAGAAAAAAGAAACGCACTTAATTATTTTACTTTTTAAAAATATTTTGAAACCAAAAATTCTTTACTGTTTTCCCCCAATTTGGCCACGCCAACACTATTTTATCCCCCTTAAATTTTAATAGTTCTATTAGGTTTTTATAACTAATTTGTATAAAGTAGTTTATTTTATTTTAAAAATATATATTTTTACATGCTTATGTAAGTACTTTTTTAATATTTTATTTGTAAAAAGTTATTTTTAGCAACATAAGTTTTAAATAGAGAGACTTTTTATTACAATGTTAATAATTTTTTTTGTTGTTTTTTTATTATTTTAAATTTGATGAAAAAAAAATCATCGAATGTCTTGGTGAGAACCAACATCTCTACAGCATAGGTTCCTATAATTATCATTAACTTTCTGAGGATGAGGGTCAATTATTATTATGATCCAAATAAATTTAGAAAGTGAAAACTTCTTTGCTCCTACTAGTTTTGAAATTGTTTGTTTTCTTCAGTCAAATAAAGTTATACAATTTTTTTAATCAGTATTTCATTATTATAGTAAAAAAGTAATCCAATGTTTATAAAAAAATACTATTTACATGTTATATTCAGTTTTTTTATTTAAATGACAAATTTAGAAATCTTAATTTAAAATATTCTGTCAGGTTTTAAACATTCACATACCTCTTCAGAAAGTATGAATGTATATATATATAACTTACATATGAAGGACCTATTCGAAAATTAAAGTTTCCAAGACTATTTCCCCTGTATATTTTTCTATATTATTTCATAGTTAGTATTTTTAGTTAATTTTGTAAAATTAAACAAATTTTTTATATGATCTTTTTTACAAAGAATTTTTTCTTGTAACGAAAACAAAATGAACGTTCAACGCATAATTTTAAAAAAAGTATTTGTTTTTTATTTATTTACAATATTGAAACATTTCTATACAAATGTTTAGTTTATTTTAGTCTTCTAATAAAGTAAAAAGAAAAGGAAAAATAAAAAAGAAGAAACAAAACCTTATGTTGCTATTTTATATGTAAATGTTTTTTTTTTTTTTTTTGTATAAATTTTTTAAGCAAAAATTAAGTTTTAAAAAAGTAAAAAAAAGTTTTGAGTGTTATAAGCAAAAAAAGAAAACAAAATAATAATTAAAGTAAAAACAAGAACAAGTTTTTGTTAGATATGAATTTAGTTATGAAGTGCAGGTGTATATGTATTACATACGTTGCTGATTGTTGATTTTTAGCATTATTTTTTTGTAATTTAATTTAATTTTTATAATATAAGTTTAAAACAAAAGTGTAAAATGCACTTTAAAATCAGAAATTATTGCGTATTAAAATCATATTTTTATTGTAAATTTAAATATAAATATATATTAAATTATTAAAATATCAACCTTAAGCCGGAAATAAAAAAACAACTGCAACAAAAGCTTAATATTCGAAATGTTTAATAATATTCAAAACAATTACTGTCAACATTTAAATATTTTGCTAAATAATAATAAAAAAAACATTCAGACAATTCTATAATAGTATCAAACAAATTTGTTCAAAATATTATTTGTACAAATTTGGCTTGAATTTATACCTACATACATAAGAACGTAAAATACAACAACAATCCCATATTTTAATAATATTAATTAAAAATACCATATAATAATTTTGTGTATCAATTATAATTAAAAACAAAATAAAACAAACCACACAAAAAAATAAATACAGCATGTATGAAAAATTTCATCATTATTGTAATAAATACACCGAAAAATTTAGAACTAAAAACAAAAAATAAATATATATATACAACAATTTAAAAAAAATCATTTATTTTAATATATTTAACAATATTTTAATACATTTATTCCCCTTCTTTCTCTAATGGTGAGTAAAAGTGTATTAAAAACAATTAAAATTAGCGCCTAAAAGTATGCTTTATAAATTTTTAATAACATAAATTTAGCGCCATCTATTGTTTCGATTAGACTTGTTTCGTTTTTCAAAAAATCGAGTTTCTCAGTCTGGCAGCACTGCCACGAATTTTGGATGCCACTAAGCCAGTGTTGCCACCCGTCAAGAAAGTTGTTATGACAAAAACCAGTGTTGCCACCCGGATTTTAGTGGGGTCGAAAATTTGCGGTTGTGTTGCCAGACTGAGAAATTCGATTTTTTGAAAAACGAAACAGCTCTAGTCGAAACAATAGATGGCGCTAATTTTATACTAATAAAAAATTGCAAAGCATACTTTTAGGCGCTAAATTTAATTGCATTTTTAAACGTATTTTCTTCATTTTTCTCTTAACTTAATTGCAAAAATATTCTGTTTTTAATAATAAAACATAATTTCTTTTAATTTATTAACTTTCATAAACAAATTAAGGTAAATATTTATATAAAGACAATTATAAAAGCATAATAATAAAACACAAGACATAAAACATTTCTACATGTTACAATTTTGAATGTGGTGCTGTTCCAGATATTTTATACACAAATTGATGAGCATGATCGTAATGAGGATTGCAAGCTGCACGAACTCTCTTCAACCAAGCTCTAATCTTAGGATGTTTAATACGAACATCATAATCGGCCATACCTAAAATATAAACATATTTATATTAATTTGTATTATTAACAATATAAAATGCAAATAACTTACGTGTTTGTTCAATTTCACAAGCTGCAAATATGTCGGCCGCTGTCATATGTTTACCACACAAAAAATCTGAATTATCCAACCAGATATTTTCGATAATACCTAAATTGATTTCCATATAACTTTTCAGATTTTCAATTTTTTCTTGTGATGGCTTCTTTCCTGTTAATAGAGGATCTAACCAAACAGTGCGAAAATATAAAGAACAAGTTGCTCGCAAAGTAATGTGCTGCCATTCCAAAAATTCATCAACACGTGCTTGTTCCACAAAATATTTGGGATATAGATATTCAGGTATTTTACCTTTTGAGCTAAGGTATCTGTAATGGAAAGGGAAATTAATTAAATGTTAAATTGGTGTATACATTTTGTTTTTCTACTTAGTTTACTTCTTTTTTAAGAAACAAAACAGAGAATGGACAAGACGTTACCAATAAAGCTGTGTGTTATTATTGTCTAGAAGCATGAAATTAAGCATCTATAAAAGGGAACTTTTTGGTACTTTTTCGTTCTTCATAAGGTACTTTTCGAATATTAATATTGGATCTGGAAACATGAAATTTAGCATAAAGAATCCGGAGTAATGACTACAAAAGGTACTTTTTGAATTTTCTATAATATTGAACCTAGAAACATGAAATTAAGTATGAAGAAGCCGGATTAATTGAGAACACATAAAATGGAACTTTTTGTTTTTCGTTCTACAAAAGGTACTTTTTGAATTTTCTATAATATTGAACGTAGAAACATGAAATTAAGCATGTAGAGCCCGGATTAAGTTAAAACACATAAAGGGGGACGTTTTCGTTCTTCAAAAGGTACTTTTTGAATTTTCTATTATATTGAACCTAGAAACATAAAATTAAGTATGAAGAGCCCGCCTAAAATTGTTCCGAAGTCACATTTAACAGAGTAATCGACCCATATTCTGTATTTCGGTTACGTTTACGCATTCAGTTACGCTACGATCGAAAAAAGGTATTCCAACAAAAAACTGAATCGTAAGAAAAAGGAGAAGCAATTCCATTTCGTTTCAATGCTTTACGATTGAGTGTATTCTGCATTACGGTCAAAGCTACGTTTTTCCAAGTTGTTTTTATGTGGCGGAGAGTCGAATCGAAATACAGACTACCAAAGTTGCCAAAAGGAGAAAATTTCGATTCGAATTGAAATGCAGAATAGGGGTGAATAAGAAAACCGACCTAAGAATGCTACCATGCTAACAAAGTTTTAAATATTATTGAAATGCTGGCAGAAATAAAGAAAATTTTATTTATAGTGGATTAATTGACGACCTAAAAAAACTACAAATATGTTAAAATTGTCTTCATATATTGATTAAAGTTCAATTTTTAATATTATTCGAAGTTTTTTGAAAAACTGTTTGGCTATTTTAAATTCTGTTTATACAATAATTTAGCTGATAATAATACGATTTTATAATGAAGAAAATATTCAAAGAATGTGTTGTTTTTTTCATACTAATTTGAACAAATTTCCTTTTTTATCACTTACCTCAAAATTGCAATACTTTCAGCTAATTTAAAACCATCGTCAATTATGCATGGCACCTTTTGGAAGCGATTAATATTTGTTTTGTAATCCTCCGTTAAATGTTCACCTAATAAATAAGAAAATATAAAAATAAAAATTCTAAAAATGCATCTTAAGATAAACAATTTTATTTATGAATATGTATAAACGTAAGTATATTAATCAAAAATATGTACATACATATTACCATAAAACAAATGATAAGATTAATATTTACAAAAATATAACAATTACTTACCATTTCTTAACGCTACTGGACAATCCTCAAATTGTACTCCACTCATTTTGAAAATTATATACAAAGCCCTAGAGGGCTGTGACATTAAATCATAATAGTAGGCCAAAGACATTTTACACTGTGTTGTAGAGTCCACTGAAATAAAGAATTTATAAACAAATTTAATGTCTTATTAATAACATATTAGTAAATTAAAATTAATTAGTTTTTTAATGTGTAACTTTCTTTACAAATGATCTTACCTTCACTAAAACAAGAGTACTACTAAACATTTGTTTTCTCTAAAGGTGAGTCGGGTGTATTTTTGCTCATTTCTGTTTTGTTTTTTTTTTTTTTTTTTTTTTGCAATATATGTATGTATGTATGTACATCACAAAATAATCTCTTTGTATTTTAATGTACAGTTGAGTTCAACTATTGTGAACTATAGCTATAGAGCACATATTGAAACATTTACATAAAAAATAAAATTTAGATTTTTAATTTAGATTCTAAATTATAACAATGTTTTAAAGTTTTTATTGAATTTTTGCTTTCAGTTTTTAATAAAGTACTTACATTTTGTAAAGTAATTCTATACTTATTTTATAAATCGTTTATCTTCTTTGATGAAGCAAAACCTTGAAAAACACTCTCAAAACAAATAATTCTTAAAATAATAAATATTGTTAATAATATAAATTAATTTATGTTATTAACTTGTTTTATCTAAACATGTACTTTAGCCAAACTCTACTGTAAATGAGTTTTGTTGTTTATAGATCTTTATTCTGTAAATTTACGCTCTTAAGTAATGTTTCTCTTTTGATTTTGTATTTTGTAGTTATCATATGTTTGTTTTTGAATCAAAGGTCGAATTTACTTTATGTTTAAGTGAAAATTCATAGTACGCATCAGATGTGTATCAGTCAGTTTTACAAAAGACTTATTTTAATTAAGCTTATTAATAAAACTAAATTTATTAAAATTAATTTTATAAATAAATTAATCTTTTACATTTAAAAATAATTTAAACTAAATTTAAACTACTTTTATTGCGACAGACAGCAATGAATACAGAGGATTTTTATTCGAATTTTTCTAATTCGAAGTGCTAGCTCTAATCCGCATTAAATTTGTCGACAACTCGTATGTTTAAAAAGAATATATCATCACCTGAAACGCAAACGGCCCTAACTAACCAAAAATTCAAAATCGATTTTATTGTTGAGTCTAATATATTGCAGCAAAACAAATGTTTACCAACAAAATTGGACTCCTCGAACCAAAATTTGCGATTTTATTAACAAAAATCAGAACATTTAAATATTAAAGTTAAAAAGTCCAATTTATCAATTTTTCTATATGCCATTGTCAACTACCATAACAAATGGTATTAAACAATTTGTTTATGGAATAACAATAAATCGCATTGATAAAAAAACAAACATTGCAGTTTAGTTTTTTGTTTCTCTTGTAATATTTTTAAAATGTTAGATAGGGCCGTTTGCATTTTAGGTGATGTATGTATAAAATCTCTCTCAACCCGTTAAATATCATTTAAATCCGATAAAATTTATAAGAACTTTCTTAAATACAATAATCTTAATGATCTTACTTTAAAAATATTTAAAAATTGAATAATAATTGTGTGTGAGTTAGTTGTGGGAATAAAATATCAGTAATTTTACGTTCGATGTTGGAAAGAATCTCTTCATCATTCAATAAAACAGATCATTCCGTTTTGTTTTAATAATCACCATTAAGATCGTACATTGCGAATTTATTGACGAAGCGTTTTTCAAAAACAAAATGAAATGTATAACTACAAAGATAGGTTCAGCCGACCCCAATCGAAATTTACATATCAACTTAATATTATGTATAAGACGTATTTAACATTTAAATAATTAAAAAAAATTTTATTAAAAATTGAGTTTAAAAGTTGTAATGGTTTTATTTTAGTATTACACCGTCCTAATCTCAAAGTTAAACACGCACCAGAACTGCGCTTAGCTTTATATTTCGTTTCAAAGGAGCACATTTAAAAAAATATATGTACATATATAAATGGAAATGAAAAAATAATATTGAAAATCTCAATAGATATTAAAAGATACAAATTTAAAGATATTTTTGATATCTTTTTATCTTGACAGTATAAAACAAGTAAGAAATTATAGTCGGGCGTGGCCGACCATATGATACCCTACACCAGTTATGAATATTAAATGTGATTTATTTTTCATAATAAAGCATTTATCTTCAATATTCCCTTGTTCCGATACATTTAAGCAATTTATGGATGAAAAACTAATTTTCTGAAAGAGGCTTTATATGGGGGCTAGGGGCAAATATGGACCAAGCTCGATAAAATTTTGTGAATATATTTATATTGACATAATATTTTATTGTGCTGAATTTCATCGCGATATTTGTGTTTATAAGCTAATTTGGGACATTCAAGTAATTTTCTGAAGGGGACTTTGTATGGGAGCTAGGGTCAAATGAGGCCCGATCTTTATGAAATTTGGCAGGGTCATCAAGACTTCTATAAAACTTAGTTGTGCCGTATTTTATCGATATATCTGTATATTTAACATAATTATGAGCTCAGAAGCCCTTTTCGGGGGGTTCTGTTCTATGGGGACTAGGTGAAATAATGGACCGATCTTAACCATTTTCAATAGGCTTCGTCCTTATAAAACGTGCGTGCCGAATTTCATCCAATTATCTTGAAAATTGCGACCTGTACCTTGCGCACAAGGTTTACATGGACAGCCAGCCAGACGGACGGACGGACGGACGGACATGGCTTAATCGACTCAGAAAACGATTCTAAACCGATTGGTATACTTTAAGGTGGGTCTAGGACGAATATTTTTGTATGTTACAAACATCAGCACAAATCCAATATACCCTCCCCACTAAAGTGGTGTAGGGTATAATGAAAATAATACAAAATATTTCCCAAATCTTATTGTTTTGTTAATATCGAATTTGGCATTGTTTGAGCAGTAAAAGTATTTTAAAATATTTTTTGAAAAATGTACTTTTTTTAAATTTTGATGCCCTTTAAATTGGACACAGGATCACGAAATAAAAAGCTAAAAACTTAGCTTTTCTCCATTAAAATAATGGTTTGAGGTGTAAATCATCCGGTTCATGTCTAACGATGTTTTTTCTTTTTATCTTACAGTGTTATAGTAGAAAAAATATATTTACATGTAACATCATCATAGCCCAATATATCACTTATAATATTAATCATTTTAATTGATTTTTTTCAACTAAAATTTATAATAAATTTAAATTTAAGCTTATCAAACGTAATAAGTAGCACAACTTCTTCTTAATAACTAACTGTATTACAAATTTGGGTAGATTTCAAGCCTAGAGCAAATTAAAGGTTATAAAGGTAAAGCAATAAAAGTAACATTAAAATATAATAACAGAACTTTTATTAAAATTTACACAAAAAAAAGTAATTCGAAATTAAAACAAGTAAGAAAGTATAGTCGGACGAGGCCGACCATGTGATTTATTTTTCATAGTAAAGCATTTATTTTCAATATTCCCTTGTTCCGATACATTTAAGCAATTTATGGATGAAAAACTAATTTTCTGAAAGAGGCTTTATATGGGGGCTAGGGGCAAATATGGACCAAGACCGATAAAATTTTGTGAATATATTTATATTTACATAATATTTTATTGTGCTGAATTTCATCGCGATATTTGTGTTTATAAGTTAATTTGGGACATTCAAGTAATTTTCTGAAGGGGACTTTGTAGGGGAGCTAGGGTCGAATGGGGCCCGATCTTTATGAAATTTGGGTCATCAAGACTTCTATAAAACTTAGTTGTGCCATATTTTATCGATATATCTGTATATTTAACATAATTATGAGCTCAGAAGCCCTTTTCGGGGGGTTCTGTTCTATGGGGGCTAGGTGAAATAATGGACCGATTTTAACCATTTTCAATAGGCTTCGTCCTTGGGTCAAATAAAACGTGCATGCCAAATTTCATCCAATTATCTTGAAAATTGCGACCTGTACCTTGCGCACAAGGTTTACATGGACAGCCAGCCAGACGGACGGACGGACATAGCTTAATCGACTCAGAAAACGATTCTAAGCCGACTGGTATACTTTAAGGTGGGTCTAGGACGAATATTTTTGTATGTTACAAACATCAGCACAAATCCAATATACCCTCCCCACTAAAGTGGTGTAGGGTATAAAAAGATAAACAAATTATTGTACAAAGTTTAAAGCACAAACAAAAAATAATAAAGAAAAATAAAACATATTAAGAGAAAATTAACAATTGAGCAGAAAACAAATAATAAAAATCTTATCAAAGAGAAGTATTTATAATCAAATTTAAATACATATGTACATAATAAAATATAAATAACAAAAAACCACCAACAGTATACAGCAAAATTGGTAATCAATTGATTTAGAATATCAAGTCAATTATTTTCAGTTAAAATTTTAACAGACAAGACCATGGATGAAAACTGTTTAAAATATTACTTTGACTTTTTATCGCAACCCTCAAGAGCTTTGTATATATTACTTAGAGAAAGCGGTACCAAGTTTGAAGCTAATCAAGTGGATTTACTAAAAGGTTATTGAGTTAAATAATAAATAAAAAAATATTCTAAAATTTATTTATAATTACAGGCGAACATCAGGATGATGATTACAAAAAAGTAAATCGTTTTCAAAAAGTGCCAGCCATAATTGACTATGTGAACGATAAAGAATTGCATTTAGCTGAAAGCATTGCCATATTAAGATATTTGGTCGAATGTAAAAAAATTTCACTAACTTTCTATCCGTTGGACTTGGAGCTAAGGGCTCAAGTAGATGAGTTTTTAGAATGGCAGCATACGACTATAAGAACTTCATGTTCTTTATATTTTCGTTTTGTTTGGGTTCAAGAAAAGTTAATAGGTGCTCCAGCTTCTAGTGGCAAGATTGCAAAATATCGCTTATTAATGGAAAAAGATTTGGAACTAATGGAAAACTTATGGCTTAAAGATAATACATTTTTGGTGGGAAATTCTATTACGGCAGCTGATGTTTTTGGTGCTTGTGAAATTGAACAAATAAGTAAGTATATTTGTATTTTAATATTCAAACAGTTTTTAATATATCATTAACTTTTAGGATGCACAGGTTATGAAATTAAATTAAAATTTCCTAAAATCTATACATGGATTGAGAATGTTCGCAGAGAATTGAAACCGAATTTTGATAAAGCTCATCATGTGGTTTATACTATTGAAAAGGAAACAAAATCTAAAGATAATAAATAAAGTAATAAGAACTTAATATTTGTAAAACTAGATTAGCCGTAGATTATTAGACTAATTTCGTAAAAGGCTTTGGATTTGTTGAAGTCGGACATAATTTTATATTAAAAATTAAAGTAATAGCTATAAAACCAACAATTTAGAAGTCGATATTGAAAGTCTTGTACATTGTTAAACTCATCGTCAAAATCTCTATGTTTACTAATCCTTAGCTCAACATCTAAATTAGATTAATTGCAAAATATGTATTTTGAAATTTTTATTAATAAATCAAATCCACAATTTAATAAATAAACACTGACAATATTTTTCATTTATAAGTGATTTTTGTATATTAAAGAATAGAAAGGAATTTTTAAAAAATAAACTTAACGACTAAACTTATAAGAGAAAGACGTTCAATTAACTTTCCAAAGTTACTTGATCACGATGTATGAAAAAGGCCGATATAAGAGCAGTAGTTTGAGGGCCTTCCGTGCAACCCTTGGCTAAACGTTCTTCTATAGAAGCCATTTTTATTATGAGTTTATTCATAACACTCATAGGAAGTTCCACTAAAAAAGTAGGCACAATATTTATAATAAAAATCGGAAAAGTAAACAACAAAACTTACGCCTCATAACAAATAAATGCAATTCTGTGAGAATATCATCCAAGGCCAAACCTTTAACCGATTTAATACGATGTATTTCTAAAGCAAAACAAAAATTTTCAATATGTTTTCAAATAGTGGACTAAATTCCAAAAATTACCATTGTAGGCCTCTTCGAAATGTCTACAGGACAAAAGAGTTTCCAATATTTTCTCAATATCACTACGCAAAGGATGACCAACACAAGTGTAAACATTATCCTCATTGACAACATCAAATGCCATGCTAGTACTTTGTAAAACATTTAACACCTTACGCATATCACCTTTAGAAAGAGTCATTAAAGCCTTTTTGCCATCTTCGGTAACATTTAAACTTGATTTGCCAACAGCAAAAAGAAAAGTAATTTAGTAGATTTAAGTAGTATAGAAAAATATTTTGCATTTCCTTACTCTTCCAACTCAATAATTTTATCCAAACGCGGAAGTATTTGTTCCGGCACTAAAGGAGCGAAGCGAAAACGTGTACATCTGGACTGCACAGCAGGAATGATTTTACTCAAATAATTGCAAATAACACAAAAACGTACATTCTCCGTGTACTTTTCAATAATACGCCTAAGAGCATTTTGGGCATCATTTGTCATGGCATCTGCTTCATCGAGTATGATTAATTTAAAAGTGCCACTAAATATTGTACGAGTAGAAGCAAAATTCAAAATTTGACCTCTAACAATACCAATACCTCTATCATCAGAAGCATTAAGTTCCAAAACCATGGATTTAAATTGGGCCGGTGTATACAATTGTTTGGCACATGCCAATATGGTACTAGTTTTACCAGTACCAGGAGGACCATAAAACAACAAATGTGGCAATTGTTTTTGGTTGATAAAACGATTAACTACAGATTTATGGGAAGATTTTTAGGAAAAATTTTCTAGAATTGCAAAAAAAAAAAAAATAAAAAACAAAACTTACTGGTTGATATAATTTCTTCATGGGATATTAAATCATCCAATTTTGAGGGACGATATTTTTCCACCCTGTAAAAGACAACACAAATTAGTTTAATTGTTAATTTCTTCATGTTTATAAATTTACCATGGCATGCGACTTGTTTTTGCTGCATTTTCTTCACTCATTATTATTTATTTATAAATTTTTACAATTTTGTTAACACTTTTATTACACACGGCGAAATTATTTTAGCATGTAAACAAATTTTTGTGCAATTTGCGCCACAATTTTTTTAGCTGTCAAAATGTTGAAGTGCTACCAGATTGATATTATTGTTAAGATTTATGGTTGCATTTTAAAGGGAGTATTTTAATATCAAAAAAAATATTTACAAAATGTTATGTCACACATTTGTAACATAAATTTCATAGAAGAAAGTTAATTTTTGGCATTTTATAAGAATTTCTTTAACTTATATATGTATATAGCTTCAAAATATTTTATTTCTGAAAGCTAAATCTATTATTTTTGACATGCTGAACCAAAATCCGTCAAAATGTTTAATTATTTACAAAATAGATTTGAAATCGGATGAATAGTTTGAAATTTAAGTTCGTATTAAACCATATACAGGTAATTTTAGAATAAAAAAATATTTTCTGGAGAGTTTTTAATACTTTGCTATTTCTTAAGTCGTTTGATACAAGAAACATTAACAAATGTATATTAAATCTGCTTTTTATTGTATTACAACGAAAAGATCTATCTTCATATTTGTTCAAAATGTATATAATGAATGAAAAATTAAAATTTTCTAACGATTTACCGAAATAAACAGTTATTTTGCAATCCTTTAATGGACGACGGGATAGCCTCATTATTTTAATCCAAAACTTAATTTTATCGTGATATTAGTGTATATAAGTGACCGATTTAAACCATTTAAAATAGGCGTCGACCTTGATCAACTCAGAAAGAAAAAATATATTTGAGTGCTACAAACTTCAGCACAAACGCATAATACCCTCCCAACTATAGTGGTGTAAGGTATAAACATAATAAAAATGAAGTCAATAAAATACAATATAATAAAATATAATTAAATCATTTTGATATGTTACAAAATTTGATTAAATTTGTATTAAAAAAACTATAAACAATTTTAAAAATACATTAAATTTCTACCCAGTCTAAAATATTTCGATAACACTACCGTTTTACAGCTGTTTAATGATAGCTACTACATATTTTTACAACCATTCACGATTACACGTTTATATTTGCTCTCAGCAAATAATATTAATCGCAAAGGTAATATAAAAAACATTTCTGCGTAGAACAAGACAATTGCGAAAACATTTTTAAAAGTAACAAGTGAAATAAATAATAGAAAATTCCAGAAAGTAAAATAATATACGAACAATATGTCAGCTTCAACAACGGAGAAAATTAGTGAAGAAATAAATTCTGTCGAGGAGAAGAAACCGATTTTCCGGGACATTGATGCAGATGATACACCTGCTGAGGCCACAGAAATTGAGTCGGCATGTATGAGCTGTTTTCGTTCGGGAGTCACACGTTTGTTGTTGACGAAAATTCCCTTCTTCAAGGAGGTTGTCTTGATGTCTTTCAAATGTGAATTTTGTGGTTATGAAAACAATGAAATACAATCGGCATCTGAGGTACAGAAAAAAGGTGTCACCATGGTCTTAGAGGTTAAAGATGCTCAAGATCTAAATCGCCGTGTTGTTAGATCTGATTATACTTTAGTAAAGATACCCGAGGTGGAACTAGAAATTCCAGCACAATCGCAAAAGGGTGAAATCACCACTGTCGAAGGCATTATCGATAGAACAATACGTGGCTTGAATCAGGATCAAGATAAACGCAGAATAGAACATCCAGAAGCAGCTGCCTCTATTGATGCCTATATTGAACGTCTGAATGCTTTGAAGGAACTTAAAGCACCATTTACTTTAATTTTGGAAGACATCAGTGGCAATAGTTTTATCGAAAATCCTTTGGCCCCAGCTATAGATCATTTTTGTAAGGTCACACACTTTACACGTACCAAAGAGCAAGACCATCAATTGGGTTTTTATGATCCAGAAGATGTTCCCACCGAACCACAACAAAAAGAGGAAAACCATTTGTTAAAACCCATAACAGAAGGTTCCTGGACATTGGAAGATTTACATGGTGAAGTTTTACAATTTCAAACCTTGTGTCCGGAATGTCGTTCTCCCTGTGAAACGAATATGAAATTGACTACCATTCCTCACTTCAAGGATGTGGTAATTATGGCAACTGTTTGTGACGTTTGCGGTAACAAAACAAATGAAGTTAAATCTGGTGGCGGTATTGAAGAAAAGGGTACTCGTTTCGAAGTTCGCATAGAAAGTAATGAGGACTTGACCCGCGATGTTCTAAAGTCGGAAACCTGCAGTCTAACAATACCCGAATTGGATTGTGCCGTAGGACCCTCAGCATTGGGTGGTCGTTTTACCACCGTCGAAGGCATTTTAACTGCAATGAAAGATCAATTGGCTGGAAATGATGTAATGTTTCACGACTCTTCCGATGAAGCTTCAAAACAAAGATTTCAAGGTTTTGTAGAGAAATTTGAAGAAATTATTAATTTAAAATTTGTTGCCACACTTGTATTGGATGATCCAGCTGGCAACAGTTATGTACAATCACTCGCGGACAACGATGAAGTTGATGATAAATTAAAAATTACAAAATACGAACGAAGTTATGAACAAAATGAGGAACTGGGTTTAAATGATATCAAAACTGAAAACTATGAACAACTTGAATCGATTGCTGAATAATTTTATTTTACTTATTAATAATTTTATTTTTTATTGAAAGTGAATTTAAATGCTGGTTTAACATAAATCCATTATTAATAAAAAAAGTACTAACTATTAAAAACTACTTTTGAAAAAAATATATATTTTAGTTTTTAATTGATTTAATTAAAATTTACTATGTTTGAATTATAAAGTTATAAGAAAATATCAAAAATCTCTGATCACGAATATTTTCCCTTAAAATTATATTTTTACGAAAACTAAAATATGTGATCAATTGTGTATTCCATCATTAATTTTTATATGAAAAATATAAAATTGGCTTTCCAATTGAGCGAATAACGTAAATCTGTGATCACATGTACATTCCATCAAAAATCGATTTTTATGAAAACAAAATCGCCTGTAGTTTCTTAAATAACGCTCCAATTGAGAAAATAATACAAAGCTGTGATCACTTGTATATTCCATCAAAAATCGATTTTTATATGAAAAACCTAAAAGCTGATACAGTTTCTTATAGTTTGCATATTCCATCAAATATTGATTTTTATATGGAAAATTAAAATCGGTCTTAAATTTTCAGAAAAGGTACAAGCATAATATGAATAATATTGTTAACTTACAGTTAAAAAGCATTAATTCACACATGAAAGCTTTGTTTTTACTTACAGTTAAAAAGCATTCATTCACACATGAAAGCTTTGTGTTCATCCTTTAAAGCTCTGTTAAGAATAACATTTTAATATGTTGTTGTACAGCCTGGAAAGAAATTTAAAAATATGAATGCGTAAAAACATAAAATAAAATGGAAAAAATAGTGGAATTATAGATGTGTGGATGTATGTATGTTAATGTGTCGTCCTGTTAGTGGGAATTTATTATTATAAGGCGCAATTGTTAAACAAATTGGTACAGTATTGGTGAGTTGGTTTAAGCGAACGACATTACGCCAAAATGTATTAATGCTGGCGGCAATAAAAACAAGTGATAAGAATACAATATATGCCAGGACGAAATGATGATGTCGACAAGTAACAATACAATTTCTTGCTTTTTGTTTTTGGATTTTTTCCTTCAATAGGAAATTTAGTTAAAGTAATAACAAGAGATTTAGGTCAAATGGATAAAAATGTATGAAAAGAAAGCTAGAAATACAAAAGCAGGCAGGAAATTGACACTAATAGTTTTAACAAAAGATGATAGAAATAACATAAATTAAGAAGATAATTAAAAAAAAAATAGTTAATAACAGTTTAAAGAAGGATATAATGAAATTATGAGTGTGTATTTATTAACAATGATATCTTTACTAAGTATTTAAACTTTATAGGTCTAGCTGATTGGAAGAGATAAAATTAAATTGTTTTTAATTCAAAAAGGATTGTTAGACAAGAGTAAATACTCGAAAATATAGGTAAAGTGCAGGTTTTATATAAATACAAATCATAGAAATCTTATAAAAATATATAATTTTTAAATTTAATTTAATATGATATTCCAGGTAATTACACCTTCGTAATTGGAAGAAATTGTTAAGAACATTTACATAAGTAAATTACAGGATTTAAAATTAACCCACTATTCTTCTTTTTTTTTAATCAATCTCTTTATCACACATCACGCATAAAATTTGTGAAAAATATTTCTTGGTTGGTTGATGAAATCTTTAGATGTCTAAATGGATGGATGAGTGTAAAAGAGCAACAAACATTTGTTTATGCTCGTATATGCTCGTAGTAAAAGAGCATCATCACTTGTTTTTGTTTGTTGTGCTGTTGAACAATTTCACATTCATTCATACATTCCAAAAAGCACCCCCAAAAATCTTTGCATGTCTGATAAAAACCCATAACCAAAACAAACGAACAAAAACAAAACAAAAAAGTCTCAACACTTTTGGCGCTCTTTACAAAATTCCAATAGTGTTGTAAAAGTCAGGAGAGGAATCAAATGCACTCAATAAAGGGCCTTTGTCAAAATTCGACTTTTCAGAATATATGCTGGATCTTTATTCTATAAGTATGTAGCCATGTTAGTAAGTCTGTCTGATATCACGATACGGTCCGAACAGAAAGAACTAGGGGACAAAAACTATCCACAAACATTCTCTATGGATGTGGTTTATTTGGTATTAAAAATTAGCTCCTATATATATTTAGTATCCCCCAGAATACTGCTTAGATTCTCATAAATCGTAATAAAATTTAGCACACGAATTATGGATAAGATTGGCCCTTATTTAACTCTAACTGGCTTAAAAATATTTGTATATCCATTTAATTCAGGACAAACAAGTTTTGTTAGTACTCTCTACTAAATTTCATGGTAATTAACCCCCATATAAGGTATAAAATTCGACATAAAAAAGTTTAATAGAAAATAAAATCACACTACAAAATGTTATGACGATCGGTCCTTAATGGTCGCTTTCATATAACCCTTTATATTATGAAAATTATGAAACCGGGTAATCGGTTTATAAACTCTAGACATTAATTATTAATACTGTAGATATCAGTCCACAATTGAACCATTCCGAATTGCCCAATTTCGAAAATTAGCCTAAAATACATACATATTAATATCAATATATGGTAATACAGTACAGCATAAGTAGTAAATCAATTAATAAGAACTTAAATTCATAATAGGTCCATTTTCCGAAACCCAGAAATTTAAGACCCACCAAAGCATGGGAGGTGTTAGAAATTCAACATTCTTACTTCTTTTATATTTATAAAATTTTGCTAAGTGATTCATAAACCAGTCAATAGAATAGTCCATAAAATAATGCATAGAATAGATCATAGACGAAACCATAGGAGAGTGTACAACAGTCCATAGACTAGTTCATGGAATATACCATAGACTAATTCATGGAATAGTTCATAGACTATAATAGTAACTAGTCAATAAAATAGTCCATAGACTAATCCTTTGAATAGTCCATAAACTAGTTCATAGAATAGTCTATTGACTAGTCCATAAATACTGCGTCGAAGAGTCCAAACGATAATCCACAGACTAGTCCATAGCCTAGTCCATATATAATCAATAAAAAAATAGTCTATGGACTACTTAGTTCATTGAATAGCAAATAGACTGGCTAATCAATAGAATTGTCCATAGACCATTCCCTAGAATAGTCCATAGAATATTGCGTAGAATAATCCATAGACTAGTCCGTAGTGAATTATAATTTGTATGGTATATTATTAAATCCACATACTACATACTTTACATACATATGTATATACATACATAGTTCAAAAAAGGCCCCTTTTAACAATTAACCGTCTACTTAATGCTGAATAATGCAAATTACAATTCAAATACAAACCGTAGCAAAGCTCTCTTACATTTCCACTTCCGTTTTTGACAATTTGCTACCACTACTACCATTTGTTTTCCTTATATTTATTCTTTTTTCGGTTATTCTAGATTCTTGCTGTGAGTAAAATAAAAACAGAGAGAACTTGTGATAAGGCGAGCGACTAATGAGAGCGGCAAAGCTAAAACATCGATGAGCGAGCGACGACACAATAAATTTGCAAAATATGTAACTGGAAATATGTTGTGGGAATCTGGGCAGAAAGAAAATCTATGTTATGAAAAATTGAGCACAACTATTACAGTTATTCTGTTTTTGAGTGTCGACACGAAAAGAACGTTAAAATTTTACGGTTGTTTGAATAAAAAAAAGTTAAATATATAATATATTTTAAGGAAAAAACGGTTTAAAAACAAGCAATACAACAAAATCACATAAATCCTTATTTAAGGATTTTTTAATCCTTTGCAATAAAAAATAATAAAATTAATTATTAAACGGTATTATACACATTTAATAAAGCAAATGAAGAAAATAATATGCAACTTCCGTTGATTTTTTTTAACAAATTGACAAAAAAAAAAATTTAAAACGAAAAAAAAGTGAACAAGGAAAAATACTTCCTGCGTAAATTTGGTGTATATACCAACGTGCCGGATAATTGAAAGTGTGCGTGTATGTGTGTTTGACTCTGTGTTACATTTGTCCCGAAAAGAAACGATTCGTATAGAGGTGCTGGCTGGCTGGATGGATGGCTAGCAAGCTGGATGGTCGACTGTATGTTTGGTTAGATGGTTGACATATCTTGACTGACTGACTGGCAAAGCTGCCTGGCTGAATGGCTAGTCGGGAGCTTGCTAGGGATGTGTTGGTGGTAACCTCAACCTGACCCAGCATCATCATCATCAGCTGCATATAGCATACATACAATATTTATATACATACATATAGTATATTTGCAAAAAGAAAAAACATACATACAAAATATACTATAGTATAGTACATATAGTATAAAGTTTTCGTGCAAACTCGTATTTTATACATAGTAATTGATGCTGCTACTGTTTGGCCAAACCTAAATATACATACATACACACATACATCATTTACATTATATGTATGTAGGAATCTGTGTGTGTGGTTTAATACATCAATACACATAATTTGTACCGTGTGCGTTCTTTATTGTCCTCTATAACTTTTATTTCGATATAAAGAATCATTTTGCAATTTCAACTTTAATATTCACCTAGACTTACTACACATTTCTTTACATATTATTTATATGCATTTACCTGTACATGTAAATATGTATGTATGAGTGTACAGAGATTGCTATTAGTTACCAGGAGTTTTTATTGTTGGTTTTGGTCAGGTTTTCCTTGCATCTACGAACACTATCGCTTTCGTTTTACGTTCCATTACTATATCCTGTTATTAAAATGAAGGAAAATAAAATAGGAAAAATATTTTCAACATTCTGGATATTTTCTGAATAACTAACTGACATTGAAGTGGATACATATTAGGGTGATCGATTATTCGACATTTTCCAAAAACCGGTTTTCGAATAGTTCGAATAGTTGACATTTAAAAAAAACCGGTTGATATTTTTCAAATTCAGAAAAAACCGGTTAACCGGTTTTTCATTATAAATAAAAAAACATATTTTAATTTGAAAAACTTATGTTTATGTTTAAATTTGATTAATAAAACATGGCCCGAAATGATTTTTAACAGTTTAAAAGAATATAACTTTAGATCTAGTCGTCTGATTTACATTATTTCTTTAATATAAAAAAATTAGGAAAAAAGTGGGACACTTCTGTTAAACATAAGGTAATCATAGCTTATTTTAAAAGCCCTGTTTAGGAAATTTGCATAGGCATTCCAACACTTCCATAAAATTTCAGCCGTAAATTAATTATTGTAATTGGAATATAATCTTAAGATTGATAAAATTTTATCAAATAGTTATCAATTTTACAAATAAATTTTTTTAATTAATTAGGAAAATCAAAAAAGTTTAACTAAAGGAGCTTTAGAAAAATATACGCTAGCTCCTCGACTCGAATATTTTTAAAATTTAGGCGGGCTGTATTATTATTTACTTAAAAATTTCATTTAAATAATCTTTGAATACAAAGCAAATAAAAGTATTCGAAACCGATTTTTAAAAAGTGAAAAAACCGGGTTATTCGATATTCGAAAAATCAACATTAAGAAAAAACCGACACTGGTAAAGCAGAAAAAACCGGTTTTAAAACCGGTTGAAAAATCGAGTCGATCACCCTAATACATATACTATATTAAGTAATTATTGTTTAAAGTGCAATTTGAAATTAGTTCAGTTTTAGTTTAAAAACGTAATGTTTTACATACTAACTGTTGTTACGAGATATAAACAAATTTAGTTTTCTATGCGAATTCAAGAGTTTATAAGTTAATTAATAAAATAATTTTTGAAAAGATGTAATTTAAACTTTTTAATTACACATTAAAGTTGACACACCCATTTGCAAGGATTAGTTTGGATGTATTCATAAAGAAGTTTTGACCCCAAATCTCATAACTTTTGTGTTAAGTTTATTTTTTTTTATTATTATATTTCTATTTAGGATTTGTTGGACTCAGGTTGTTATTAACATGAGCCGGTTTATCATCAAATAGAAAAATTTGCTCCAACATAAAATAAACGTTTATATGTTTTTTTTTTTCAAGACAAATAATTTTATTTTAAAAATATGATCCTTAAAACAAGCATTTAAGCTTGAAAAAAATTAACTTTCAAACAAAAAATTCATACAAAATTTAAAATTAGAATAAAAAGTTTTGAAATTGAAAAATTTTAAAAAATTGGGCTTTAATCAAAATTACATACATATGAATCCCCACGATACAGTGATTTCTTTCAAACTTAACTATTGAATTCAGTTAAAAATAAATCGATTACAGTGGTGGAAAAAATGATAGAAATTTTTATAATTTTGGTAAAAAAAAATAAATTTATCATTCAGAATTTCATGACTTATATCTCAAATGAAAGGTATTTAAGTCTTCATTCATCTATTATTAAGATTTTTAGAGAACTTTTTTGAGATAAATTTAAAATATTTTAGAACTTTATATACATATATACTAGGTTATTCAAAAGACTAACCGTCAGTCGGTTAGTCGATAAGTTTTTGTCTATGAATTTTTAATTAATTTTTTTTAAATCAATTTTTTAATTCTTTTTTTCAAAATGGTACTCTTAAAGGTAATGGTCTAAGCTTTTTTTGAGCAAAAAAAGAAAAACGTCCATTTTGAAAAATAGGGAAACATGAAATGGCAAATTTTGAAAAAAATCTTATTCTTAAGTTAAAATTTTTTTGATTGATATTCCACTGGCATCCCATTAAGCGACTAAAAGCCCATAAAGGAAATTGCATAAGCTTTCGTTTTAGCAAAAAATGATCCATTTAAATTTTTTCCGGAAACAGTGAAGAAATAGTTATTTAAACTCTTTTGCATAATTTTTGACTGCAGCGAAAAAGTAATATTACGTTTCTATAAAATTTAATATTAATCAGTAAAGGCATTTTCTGAAGATGAACCTTTATGTGGATAGGGTCAATTATGAACCGATCCTTATAAACTTTAATAAACAGATTTATGTTCTTAAAGAACTTGTTTATATCGAAGTTCGTCACTGTACTGCTGTTATTAAGCAAGTTATGGTTAAAGGTGTTTAATGAGGGGGTCCTTGTCGGGGTAGGATCAATTATGAACCGATCCTTACCGAATTCGGTAGAGAGATTTTTGATATCATGTTATTGCTTCGCCATACTGTTATTATTCCTTTCATTTTCTGAAGGTGTCTTTATATAGGGCGTAGGACCATAATAAGTCCAATGTCCGCCATATATCATGGTATAGTTTTTGGATACATAAAACTAACTTGTGCCAAATTTCATTATGATTGCTTCATAATTAACTTATTTATGAGACTTTTGAAATAGTATACCGGCGGACACTTGTATGGTAGCTATGTGAAATCGTGGACCGATCGATATTGCTCATTTTCAATACCAAACAAATCTTATCTATTGAAAATAACTTAATCGTGATTTCAACAGATAGGCGGATGTACATGGCTAGATGGATTTAGCATTTGTGGTTTTACGAACAATATTTTGATATGTTACAAAGGAAAATCAATACACCCCCTTTTTTGATGGTGGGTATAAAAAGAATCAAAATATCATGCCCCTACTACATATGTATATACATTCTAGTACAAGTTGTTTGAACTAAACGAAGATTTCTGGATTAGCGACATACAAAAATGTCGCCCTTTCACATCTATTTAAGATCTTCGTAGTAGTATTTTTGATGGCTGCTGTAATCCTAGCAAACTTCATTTGATTATTTTTGAGAAACGAACTTTTACACCATAAACCTAATATTTATATGCTAGTAACTATGTATATCTAAAAGGACATTTTGAGAATAAAATATATTTTTTTCATATCTAAACCATTCACAGTTTAATTTGATGTTTTTTCTTTGTTATTTAAAATGTTATTTCGTCCTACTTTCTTAATGGGCTATTTTAAATAAATCCTAGTTTTACAACTAAAAAATGTTAAACATTTTATGTTATTTTTTTCGCAAAATTTTACAAGAAAACTTGTCATTTCCGTTTAAGCATTTGTTCTAAAAGTATTCAAAGATTTATTGTTAAGGATTTTCTGTCTAGTCTTTATGATACCCAAACCCCATTTAAATTCAGACAAACTATGTACTTGTTTTGCTTTTTTTCCGAATAATAAAAAAAATAACAAAAAATCCACTTAGTTCTGCTACATTGAGATGAAAAAGCCAATATTACATGTGACCTCAATGTAAACTTAAAAAAAAATAACCCAGCAAAAAAAGGATTTTCCAAAAAAAAAAAATTAATAATTTTTAAAAAAGCACATTAAAAGTAATGATTTTAACTAAGACTTAAAAAAGGAAGGATGTTTTTTATAATTCCTTTTCGTCGTTTTTAAACTGCAGTTTTGCAAGAAGGTGATTTTGCAAGTTATAAAATATGACTTCCAGAGAAGTTAAAAATTAGCACTTTAGTGTAATTTTGCAAGTACGGATATTGTAATTCCTTTGAAAGTACTTTGTTATTTATTGCTGGGAAGTAAAAAGTATCACACATACATAAATACTTCTACAAACTTATTGTCGTTATAGTGTTGATTCTTTATATTATTATGCTAAACAAGAGGGTTGCTAATGTCCTTCTCCCCCTTTCTGTCCTATGAGAATAGAAAAAAAAATAAAATACAAATAAAATGCGTTACGCATTTAAATGTTAAGCAAAAAGTAGTAACGTTAAAAAAAAAAAGAAATCATAAACGAACAAAACCAAAAAAAGGCGCAAAAAATCTAATGCGTAAAATCCTTAGAAACGGAAGCACACACAACCACGCACATATTCATAGAAATAAATAACAAATGTCGTATTTTATAATAACAAAAACATACTTTAGAAACAAAGAATGTTTCCCAAAAACAGGACATTAAGTGAAAATAGAAACACTATGGGATAGGATGAAAAACTAACTAATGTAAGATATTGACAAATCCTTTAAACTGACCTACACATGCGTAAATTTTGGAACATTTATAAATAATTAAATTTTTTCCAAATATTTTTTGTTCACTTTTAATAATCTCTGTTCTATAGTGATTTTAAATAGTAAACCACTAAAACAAATACATTTTATTTTTTCCAAAATGTTTTCTCTGTCCCATAGTGCTTTTAAATAGTGTATGCGAGTGAGAGAATGCAATAAATAAAAGAAATGTGAAAATAAGCAAAAAATAACAACAATTCTAATACGTGTTCTTTTTGCAGAAAAATAAAATTTTTCGAACGAAACTTTAGTGAAGAGAAAAGAAGTACAATAATACAAAAATTATATATGAAACTTTACCAAAGTAAACAAAACCTATTTTCTATTAAACTTTAATAAAAAAAGTGTGTGTTTCGATAAAACTATAAATAAAAAGAAAAAGTGTAGAACTTAAGTTTTAAGACGATATGGATAGTTCTCCAGATCTATCCTTAAAGTTAAGGCGCGGTTCTAGTGATTCTCGTGATAACTTCTATATGGATTTTGCTCAAGGCATTGATTCGGATATCGAAGAAGTGGATAATACAGCACCAACGGCACCACCTCTACCGTTGGTAGATGAATTGGATTATGCCAGTATACCACCTCCACCGCCTCCTATGATGGCCTCAGTGCAACAGCCTCAAACATTGCCAACTCTAAGTGAACACGATGATTTGCCACCTACACCACCACCTCAAAACACAGTATTACCCTCACCACCACCTTCACCCACATCGTCGGTGTTGGAAATGATGCCACCACCACCCATAACACCGCCAGCGCAAATGAATCGCAAACAAGTGCAGCCACCCTCACCACCTCTGGAAACAGAGGATGAGGAAGACGAAGAGGATGAGGCGGAAGATGGTGTGGAAGCCGATGTAGAGGAAACTCCCGATGAGGAACCTGAAGACACTGAACCCGAGGTTCAAGAGAATGGTGTTAATGGTGACGAAGATGGTAACGATGACGATGAAGAACCTCCACCACCCTTGCCACCACTACCAGCTCATTTGTCCTATGAACAAAATCAAGATGATGACGATGATAATAATTTACCACAACCCATGCAAGGACGTACACCCTCTACTTCGCCCTCGCCACCAGTAACACCACCACCATGTCCCGAATTGACTTCAATACAAAAGATAGTTTCACCACCTCCACAACATGTCTCGCAAATACCACCACTTACACCACCCTCCGAAAGTGATCAATCGCAACCAAATTCCCCACCACCAGTACCCCGACATACCACTAATATTATGCCTTCGACTCCACCACCACCGCCCGAATGTGATACAGTAGATGACGAACAGCCACCTACACCACCACCTGAATTTGGTCAAACCGAAGAAGAACCAGAACCGGAAGAACCAGTAGAAGAAGAGGTGGAAGATGAGGAGAAACCGGAACAAGAAATAGATATATCAGGAACTGGTGATATTCCTACTATGGATTTGGTACAAGAAGTTTTACAGGAAGCTGCCAAACAAGCTATGGAAGGTGACGAAACCAAATCCTCAAAAGAAGATGATTCTACAACCATTACCACACCGCCTAGTAATGGTTATTCGGGTTCATCTATACTGCCTCATCAACCAGATGAAGAAGAGGAAGATCCTGAACTAATGTTGGCTAATATACCACCACCAGCCGGTTTAGAAGATAATTCAGAAGACGATGAGGGTACCAAGACTCCAGTGTCGGAAACAAAACCCTTGGACTTAGATGAATTGTCATCTGAACATATACCACCACCCTTGGAAGAAGGTGAAGAAATAGAGAAAAAATCCTCCTTACCCGGTACTCCCACATCTCAAGTATCCCAATTATCACAGGCCACGCCAACACCTACAGTTTCGGGCTCACCCAAACGAAAAAGTAGCGTTACAAGTGCTGGTGCTGCAAGTGTTGCTGCCAGTGGTAGTCGTGTTCCTAGTCGTAGTGTTAGTCGCAGTGGCAGTCGTAGCGGTAGTCGCACTGCAAGTCGTACTGGCAGTATACGGGGAGGAGCTGGCGGTAGTATAGGCTCCAGAGCTGGTAGCATAGCTGCTGCTTCGGTTGCCTCAGCAGCTGCTTCTATTGTATCAGCCTCGCAATCTATAAAGGCTGAGGTTATAACCTCACCACCTCACTCGATTAAATCGATAAGAAGTCCTCCCGGTTCGATTCGTTCGCACACTTCAAAACCTAGTCCTTCACCCTCACAGAAAAGTCAACCGGCGGTAGTGGCCATATCATCGCCACCAGCATCAATTGGTGAGGCCCGTGTTCAAAGTCCTCAAGAAGGAGATAGTCCACCAGCAATGCCTTCGCCACCTATAATGCGTAGTCCACGACAACTGAAAAGTCCACCATCTATGCACAGCCCACCTAGAGTTACAAGTCCTCCCAAGGTGTATAGTCCTCAGTTGATAAGCAGTCCGCCAATGCGTAAAGTAGATGAAATCGATGCAGAGAAAGCAGAAAAACCGTAAGTAAAATGACGATATTCTAAAACAAAGTGGTCGTTTATTGTTTCAACTTAATTCTTATTGAGAAGCCACGTCATGGATTCCAATTTCCAAAAGTGGATTTTGTTCTAAATTCACATTGTGTCATATTTATAGTTATGCAATCACAACTGAATTCTTAGAATAGCAATTTAAATAATATATAACAGACAGTTTATTGAACCGCAAAGTCCATTTAAGAGTAATGATTTCATAATGTGACTTTGTAAAAATCCATGTCAACGTACGTCTACCAATCCGATATAAATGTATGCAGATACAGTTAAAAAAAGAAACGATATTGTTGTTAAATGAATGAGCCTTGTTACAACAGCAGTCAATACTAGTAAAGTTTTGCCGGTAAAGTCAATGCACTTTAACCATTCATGTCATTTATTCATTCAGTTAGTCATTCATTCATACAGTTAGTTCGACAGTCAGTTAGCCGTGCTGTCAGTCACTGTAGCATGCAGATACTTGTACTCGTATGTGTATTTGCAACATGAATATACAACAGACAGTCAGGCTCTATACAAGTATTTAACGGTCTTTTATTTATAGTTAAGTTTAAATTTATTATTTATATGTCGAATGAACGAATTTGTAAAGGATATACTTTGTACTATGGCGTATTAAAAAAAAAACTATATAAACAAAAGAAAAAAAGAGTAATCTTTTATATGAAAAAGGCTCGTGAAGTTGGTGAGTACTTAAAAAACACAGCAACAGTTCCGTGGTGGTAAAGTTATGTAAACATTTCAAGTGAAGCCAATTGTAATGGGCCCATCAATGCACCGGGCACTGGGTTAGTAATGAAAATTTATTTAATATTTAGTAATAAAAAAAAAACAAATTAATTGAATTTAAAGTAAATTTTATAAATATGTATGAGAATAAAAAGGAAAATGTTTTAATTTTGAAAAAAGGCTCCTAAATCTATAAAAAAATAAAAGTATTTTAATGTCAATAACATGTTTTAGAATCCCCCTGACTCGCACATTCTCTTAAAATATAGTGTCAGAGCCGGAACCGGTCCCTACCATAAACTTACCTCTAGGAAGATGCTTATGTATATTACCTTCTTCATAGGAAAGAAGGTAAAAATGTCGTTAGAAATCAAATTATTTAAAATTAATTTTTCAACTTCAGTAAATGCCACCAAATTTCATAATTAACCGTTAAAATTAGTTTAATAATGAGTAAATATGTATGTATTGAATGTTATTACTAAAGACGAGACAATTTTAAATTAATATTTTTCAACAAAACACAAACACGCACTTGCAATATACACACACAGTACGTGTCTAAGACAATTAGACAAACGTTTATTAAATACGAATGAACTTGGAAAATTGAGAAACCGTTGTAAAATACCTAAGTACTGATATTTTAAAAGAACTGCACGTTTTTTTTCATTTCCCTTTAGTGTAATATTATTTACGCTGCCAACGTAAGTGCGATTAGTAAGGATTAAACTAGAGTTTAAATGAAAAAACAACAACATTTTATGAACAGTGATTACAAATGAAATTTTAAATGTGTTGTCCAACCTTAAATAATCAGTGAAATTCTATTCGTAAATTCTTGAAAAAATAGATTTTATCGTAAAAGAGAGATTTTATCATAAAATTTCTAAAATGTAATTTTATCTTTCAAAAGTGATCTTATCGAAAGTTTCTATTAAAAAGGAATTTATCGAAAATTTGTTATAAAAAGGGAATTTATTGAAAAAATTCCATAAAAAACCATTTATCGAACATTTTTTGTAAATAGAGAATTTACCGAAAATTTTCTAAAGAAAGAGAATTTATAGAAAATTTTCTGTAGAAAGAAAATTTATTGAAAATTTTCTATAAAAAGAGAATTTATTGAAAATTTTCTATAGAAAGAGAATTTATCGAAAAATTTGTATGCAAAGAGAATTTATCGAAAATTTGTGGAGAAAGAGAATTGATCGATCATTTTCTATAGAAAGAGAATTTAATAAAAATTTCTATAGAAAATTTATTGCAAAATTTTTATAGAAACAGAATTAATCGAAAATTTTCTATAAAAAGAGAACTTATCGAAAATTTTCTATAAACATAGAGATTATCGAAAATTTTCTATATAAGAGAATTTACGAATGTTTTCTATAAAGAGAATTTATCGAAATTTTCTATATAAAGAGAATTTAGCGAAAATTTTCTATAGAAAGAGAATTTATCGAAAAATTTGTGGAGAAAGAGAATTTATCGAAAATTTTCTGTATAAAGAGAATTTACGAATATTTTCTATATAAAGAGAATTTATCGAAAATTCTCTATAGAAAGAGAATTTATCGAAAATTCTCTATAGAAAGAACATTTTTTGAAAATTTCTTTAGAAAGAGAATTTATCGAAAATTTTCTATATAAAGAGAATTAACATATATATTCTATATAAAGAGAATTTACGAATATTTTCTATATAAAGATAATTTATCGAAAATTTTCTATGGAAAGAGATTTGTGGAGAAAGAGTATTCATCAAAAATTTTCTATATAAAGAGAGAATTTTCAAATATTTTCTATATAAAGAGAATTTATCGAAAATTTTCTATAGAAAGAGAATATATTGAAAATTTTATATAAAAATATAATTTATCGAACATTTTCTACAAAAAGACATTTTACCGAACATTGTCTTTAAGAAGAAAATTTATTGAACATTTTGTTTAAAAAAAGAATTTATCGAAAATTTTTTATAAAAATAGATTTTATAGAAAATTTTCTATAAAGATAGAATTTATTAATCTATTTCTATAAAAATATATATTCAACATTTTTAAAAAATAGGAGTTTTTATATTAAAAGAGATTTTATGGAAAAATTATCAAAAAATTTCTATAAGAGTTTTTATAAAAAACTTTTAATGAAAAAAATGCCCAAAAATGTACTCTAAACAAATGAAATTTCTAAGTAGGCGAGGTGCCACGCCCACATACGAAATAAGTATTGAATGTCGCATTTCTCAGAAACTGCCACATATGGAGTCATTTAATTTTGTATAAACTTCGAGATCTATATGAACATCTTTGGACAATATGGGCGGAAGTGGGCGTGACACCTACAATATAAATAAATTATTAAATTAGTATATCTGAGAAAAAGAACAGTGGAGTCCTAAAATTTTATTTAATTTCATATGCATTTCGGTGTTGCTTGAGGATTTTAGGTCTAGTGATTTCCCAGTTATATGATTTTTTTTACCAACAAGGTAGAAATAAACAAAATAAATCGTTGCTGGTAGAATCCTCAAATTTTTCACAATTTTGACATCAATGTAGATAAATATTTTGTTAATAAATTGGTAAATTAAGGGTCGTGGCACCTCCCATATGAATTAAATACAAAAATTCATATACATGAGAATATTTGCTAATTATATATACAAAATATAATTTGTTTCTATTAGAAAATATAATAAATTAGTTTCATAAAATAAATAGTAAGCAGTATTTACATTTATTCTATTTGCATACATGAAAAACAATCTAACAACAACTATTTAAGTTTGACCACCTCTTTTTCCAAATAATTATCAAACCAAGTTAATTTTCTAAATAAATTATGATGTCTTTATATCCATACGAATGGATCTGTATGTGTGTGGCTTGACAAGTGCAAGTGTTTAAGGCAAAAGGACTCATGTATATATTTTCCCCAAGTAATGTGTTAATTACATGATGCTGGCAAATTATTCTTGTGGAAAGAGTTTAAAAAGACTATGTAGAAAAAGTAAAACACAGCAGGACATAAATGGTAGACAGATAGACAGACTGTCTTTACGACAGACATTTAGATGTAGTTTTGTTTTCACAAAAAAGGGGGTATTTCATATCCATAATGAAAGTCTCTCCCACACACACACACTGTCACACAAACAAATAAGCTTTTTTGTTGGGGCGTAAAACCGAAAAACACATTTCACGGTTGTGTAAACTTACTAATACATACAGACAATCACACAAAATTTAAAAAATCTATATATGCATTTGTGTGTATTTTAATATGCGTGTTTGTTTAATAGTGTAATTTTTCAAATGTGACTTTTTTCCATGATATAATGTCTGTGTTGGCTGGTTTATGTAAATAAATCGAATTTTTGAATTTTGACGCTTTGGTAATCATCAAAATAAACCAGAAAGTATAAAAATCTATGTATGTGTGTAACTTTCAACATAAAATATTGTTAAATCACATGTGTGTTTACAGAAATATAAAAACTGTGTTAACGGTAGGGTGCATATTTAAATAACTTCATATTTCACACACAGGAGTTTTATGGAGTAGATTGAAAAAATTGAAATAAAAATATGCCACTGAACAGAATTTCTGTTGTTGTACTTTAATAATTGGATGACAGCAAAATTGACTTTTACAAAAAAAAAAAAAAAAAAAAAAAAAAATAAATTAGTCTGAGTGTTAAAAAGTTAATATGAATATCTATTAAAATGGAAAAAGGAAAGAAAATAAAAGTACTTTTAAATACACTTTTTTGGGAGTAGAGTTACTTAAATATTCAGGAATATCCTAAATAATTTACAAAATATTGTATTTGGCTTAAAATGTTTCAAAATATGCATGAGTGCGCTTTTTAATAAATATTTAATTTAGTTAATATGGAAGAGAAATATTCTGTGAAGAGATAAACTTTCGATAATTTCCAATAAAAGTATAATTTTTGGAAATATTTTTATAAAAATGAGATTTTTTTGAAAACATTCTAAAAGAGAATTTATGTATTTTTTACAAAAAAAAAAAAAAAAAAATATCTTAAATTCAATCATAAGATTAAAGTTCATCAAAAATTGTCTATAAATGGAAAAATTTATGGAAAATTTTCTATTAAATGAAAATGCATCGAAAATTTTCTATAAAAAGAAAATTCAACGATACTTTCTATAAAAAAATTATTTGAAAACTTTCTATACAAAGAAAATCATTAAAAATTTTCA